TCCTCGAAGATTAGAGGTGTTACAAGGGAGTAACAAAAACAAAAAAAGAGGTCATCTGAAGGATGTCTTTAAAGATACGTCATCCTTTCGAAACAAAGACTTCTCGAGGCACATTCCAGAAATAACACGGCGCGGCGCAAAGATGCTACACTATCTCTGTGTTGTGTTTCCTGTTGAGCCTCAACCTCAGCGCACGGAGCTCTGTGCTCACGTGAGCATTACCCCAACCGAGTCGTATTTCGTTTCTGCGAGCAGTTCAGAAAACAGACAAAAACTCCATTAATATTTAATTTAACATCTCCACTGCAGTTGTGTAGACTGATGAATTCTCATGTTCTCCCAAACTGGTTCTCTGCCATTTTCCCACTGGTTTGTTGGGGAAAATTTAGCAGAAGTAATTACAACAGTTGCTGTTCATTATTGTTGTTTTTTTTTAAGTGGAAGGATGTTGTCGCTTTTTAAAAATCTCTTACACGATTTGTCCTAATAAGAGTTTTAGTGCACTTGCAGAACAATAAGGTCATAATATTAGTGCAGAAGATTAAAGGTGTTACAAGAGAGTAACTAACACAAAAAGAAGGAGATATAAGGACGATCGAGGTTTCATAGCAAAGAAGGCGCAAACTTCATCAAAGCACCCGCTAACCACCAGCTCTGTTCTAATGTGAAGATTTTGTCTTTCCTGTACAAACGTTGAGAGAAACATATCTAATCTAAATATAGAAGGGGTTAAAGAAAAACCTGGATTGTGTTTACCACATTATGACGCGTGTCTTGCTCTCGATCCGTGTTCCTTGGTATTGGTAGGAAAGCTGTTTGTTTTCCTCTAACAGTCAGGCGTTCAGACCCGGCGCAGCTGATGTAGCGGTGCGCTTCGCTCGCTGTCTCTCGCAGGCGATCCAAGTTCGATTCCCTAGTGGGAAGAAATTCTATCGAGTATCTTTGGTCTTTCTGCTAGGATGTTGTATTTCTCTCAGTCCGGTATGACCATGAACGGCAGGGTCGGAAGCCTGCTTGTTAGATTAAATCTAAGTTGTGTCCCTTGGGGAGTGAAAATACCTACTTTAAAAAACAAAACAACAACAACATATCCGACAAAGTCGAAGCTGATGCTGAAATTGAAATTGTGGACGTTTTACACCCACTAGAACTCAACTGATTAAAATTTACGTCGACTCTGTCTGTCAGGGCCAACCCGGGCTGAAAGAGAAACAAAACATTTCAGTATTGATATTAGACTAGCTGGGGCCCCTTTCGGTGAAAGGAATGATCGGTGCAATAACATCAACTGAAAGTCATTGGCCTACTATATAATTTACACTTAGAAGGAATGGAGCAACAAATCTTGAGAGAAAAGCGACACACGTATTTCCTAGTTGCCAAATATTTAAGAGATACTAGCTGGGCCCCCTTTCGATGAAAGGAATGATCGGTGCATTAATATCAACTAAAAGTCATTGGCCTACTGTATTAATTTATTCTCTACTGGAATGGGGCAATAAAATAGCGATGATGGGCATTAAACGAAAGGATCACAGTCGAATTTAGCATCAAGTAAAAAAAGAAAACATGAGGCTAGATCTATACGGGTCGCACACTTAAAATAGTGCTCAGTATTGCGCGACAATGCGCAACAATATTGAACGGAAGTACGACTTGAAATAAACAAACCTGGCAGATTTTTTCTAAAATTACAGAGACAGAAGCGTTGGCCTACAAAAGCGATCGGCGAAATAAAGAAGTTTAGCTGTTTGCGCTAAAACTGTCTCAAAACCGAAAAAATCGAAGGGCGTCATGATCTGGAGAATATTTTAAAGAATCTTTTGGCGAAAACCGCATGTCGATCGAAGCAGCCATTAAAAAGCCTTTTGAATAGCAAAATTCGGCCACCACAAATAGATAATAGATACTTTATTAAATAAAAACGTTCCCTACTTCGGAATCAAGCTCGTGTCTGCTGCGTACAACGGCGATGAGCCTAACCGCAACACCACAGGGACCGGTGAACTCACTTTCTACAGACGTCGTCCGTTAGGTAGTTCATGTACCTGAAAGGTAGAGCCAGGCAGCCGCCGCTAATTAATTATCCTTGTTCTGTAGATTTGATTTTATTTGGGTGGGGCGGGGGGGGGGGGGCGTAAAACACTCACACGGACAATGACAATCATAGATAGATAAATATATAGATAGATAGATAGATAGATAGATAGATAGATAGATAGATAGATAGATAGATAGATAGATAGATAGATAGATAGATAGATAGATAGATAGATAGATAGATTATTTCTTTTTGTAAATTACATTTTATTGATCCCGTGCGGAAATTTGAACTACAATGGCAAACAAAATATACATGATACATTATTATAAATATACAAACACACATTATCATTAAATACATGCATTACACACCGTTACACCCATACAAAACAATTTCACAACCATGCCAGATAGATAAATAGAAAAAAAACCTTTAATAATAAATTAGAGGGTTAACTTGTAAGCTGATCATGGATCATACACAAAATTGTAATGTTTTCGCTTGTTGTGTTCCCCACAGGAAAGGACGAGTCCAGGAATAGGTAGCACCCAATAAGCAACCGCTGTGGTGCTGTGGGTAAGTACAACTATAGCATTATTTTATACTTATATCTTCTTATCTAGTTGTTAGTCGGTCAAAGATTTTGTTTCCTTTAGGAAGCTGTTCAGCTGTGTTAGATTCTAAGCCCAGAGAGCAACTTTTTCTTTCAGGTTTCATTTTCAAATATTGTACCAAACTTACCTTTTCTTCTTCTTTTTTTTTTTACATTTAGAATTTAAATTCCGACAAAATGTTTCCCGAATACACGCAATCGGTACTGAAGATTAGAAAAAATCCCTGTTATCTATGCATTCAAAGAGGTTATGAATAGAACTAGAGGTCTTAGCTGTGACGTCGTGAGTGTCAAACTTGAGGGGCGCGCCGCCGCGCTTTTCCCTTTCGTCAACCCGCAGCCACTTAACGAATCGTCAGCCACATAGGCCTACCAACCTTTGACACGGGTCAAACTTCCATCTATTTATAGGTAGTTACCGGAACATGTATAGGTGAAGTGATGTGCCGTGATAGTCGCGATATATTATTTATTGAGATTGTTTTGGTCTCTCTTTACTCATCACCATGAGAATTTCTTGAAGTCTTTCCCTGGACTCTGCCTTTACTAAAATCTCGAATCTAGATCTAGATCTAGAGTTGTAATCTAGATCTAGTGGCAGGTTGCAGATTTCTGTTATCCAGTACATGTACATTCAAGAGATTATATAAATTGGACTAGACTCTAGACTCTAGTAGTAGACTCTTCTACTTCTACTTCTAAACTTTCGAGATTACAAAGGCCAAGCCTAGGCTTGTAAGGATTCGTTTTGTTAAAAGTGTTGTTTAACACAAAGTCTAAGAAGTTAGCAAACCTAACACATTTTTTCTAACGAAATGAAGCTTAAATTGACTTTTATATTGTCAATAAGAGATCAAGTTTAATCATCTAATCATTTAAGTAAGGAAGTGGACTGGTTATCCTCACCCTGGGTGAGAAAAACCCTACGATTGACCTCTCACCCCGGGTGAGACTTGCTATTTGGCTATTCTCACCCAGTGTGAAACAAGACCTGTTTTTCCTAATTTCGAAATACTTTCTATCGGTGTGGATGATCAAATTGACAAAAGCAAAGAAAAAAATGACGTTATAGCACAAAAGTAAGCTAATTTGATCGTCTACAAAGATGCTATGGCTCTTTCACTTTTCGAATCGAGCCGAACTACGCGGGTCGCCATTTTGTTTTGCCCGGAAGTTCTCGCAACTTACTCGCAAGATCTACTCCTCCCCCTTCTCTCCCTCTCTCTCTCTGTCGGCAATTTATTAAATCTGCAACCTGCAACTAGATTACTACTAGATCTAAATTCGAGACTTTAGTAAAGGCAGAGTCCAGGGAAAAACATCAATTAAATTCGAGTGGTGCAGATGAGTAAAGAGAGACCAAAACAATCTCTCTATTGCGACTATCATTGCACATCACTTCGCCTAATACATGTTCCGGTAGATCTAACTACCTATAAATAGATGGAAGTTTGACCCGTGTCAAAGGTTGGGTGAAGGCTGACGATTCGGGAGGTGGCTGCGGGTTGACGAAAGGGAAAAGCGCCGCGCCGCCATTCCGGAGAGGAATAAAGGCCAGTCAGTGCACAGCAGAAACACGGATTAATGATACTCTGCGAAGTCTTTTGGTGTTGATTTCTTTTTCATGTCATTTGCCTATCGCTAAAATGTACTCATAGGGATTTTTGTGATTGTGTACATGTAAATGGGCCAGACAATCACCTAATGATGCAAATTGGGTCTTTTACATGGTGAGACCACATGGATCTGTACTTTTTTAAATGAAAAAGATGGACTTGATGATCAGATGTTAAACCGAAACCCCCCCAAAAAAAAAAAAACCCCCCCAAAAAAAAAAAACAACAAACAATTGTATTGAAATATATTGCTGCGCGTCTCCCAAACAGTATGTCTAGATCTAGATTTAGCACCGCTGACCGCATCAAGACGCTCGTATCGGCCCTCTGGAATCAGGAAGGTGTCTGAGAAACTGCAAGAAGCTCCAGCTGCAACTCTAGTACACCTTCAAGGCTGGCTGAACGGAAAAGAACCCCTGTCGATGTTGTTGAGATAAGAGAATATACAGTAGCCAACCAGACATGACTACCCACCTACCAATAAGAGCGGCGTAATATTCTGTCTCATTTGCGGAACCGGTGCCAAACAGCATGTTCAACAGCAGCAGCTGGGGTTCATGGAAAATGAGGTGTGGTGTAGCCGAACACCATTGCCAGTCAACGCATATTTTAGAAAATTTTGTGAACTTTTAAGATAAACCGGCTATTTAACTAAGTGTCGCTTTTTAGAATGTTGTCAGTATATAATTACGCTCTTTGGGTGTGCGCACAGGATCCGAACAATGAGTGATTTACAGTATCCCAGCCTGCAATTAATTTCCCACTCTGAGACAATGACGAATTGATGATATATTTAATAATCAACCCGGTCTTGACCCCTTTCGTACCCAAGGAAGACTTAGCCTTTGAGTTAGGAGAAAGAGAGTGTAGACAACATGACATAAAAGCTATCCATTTTGTGAGTATGAAATTGTCCTTTTCTGAACAAACTCAGTTACTCACCTTGTCTCCATCCACCCCTCCCCCACCACATCCGGGGGAAAAAACCCAACACTACCTCATATTATATCTCTCTGTTCATTTGTAGCCCACTTTTAAGTGCATTTGTATTTCCCAAAATCGGTCAGCAGGTGGGGCATTGTGTAGGAGTGTATGTTATATGATTAAACAACAACAACAACAACAGGAAACAAAAAGAAAACTTAAAATAAAACTGAACTGAACTTCAAACTCTACGAAGATCGAGGCGATGCAAGGGGCGCGCAGCGTGACAGCGCTGTTTCTAATCCTCTCAAAATGGCGATAAAGCAAGCCGAGTGGGACTACTGGGCCCACACAGCCATAGTGAGTTTACGTAGGTGATGTCACAGCTGCGACCTCTAGTTCTATTACAACTTCTTTGATATTTCTTCATACATGTATTAGCAAAATGCTAAACAACCCAGATCGGAGCCACCCCGTAACGTCTTGGCTAAAGTTGAGAATTCACGGCACCTTATTCCTCGTTCATCATCCATTTGAATCAAATTAATAGTGCCTTCAAAGTTTAGGGAGAGTGTGTCAAAGTTCACGATCTAGGATATAACAATACAAGCCACAAGCCTATAGTGCAAAGATACTAATCTATTCTCGGATACATTTTCTTCTTTTTTATGCCGAGGTGTGCAACTCATGAGCTGCGCAGCTTCAAAGTAATTAACGAACCAATACGCCAAAACATCCGGTGTGGCTTTTCTTGGATCGTGGCAAGAGAAGAAGAAAAACGCTGGCAGCTAGTTGTTTGTTCAAGAATAATCGCTTAGAAATCTGGCAATCTAGCAAATTAATATCATCGCTTACAGAATGAGCTACTTATACCTTTGGTGGCCAGGCTTCTTACGCAAGCCCGTCAAAAAGAGTGCCAACATGGTGTTAATGTCTCTATGGACACTGTTAAAATCGGTGCTTACGTGTGTTGTTTATGATAATGATGCACTTCATCATGAGGGAAATGTTTTGAATAGAAATCAAAGAAGAAGTATTTTCAGCTCTCTCTCTCTCTCTCTCTCTCTCTCTCTCTCTCTCTCTCTCTCTCTCTCTCTCTCTCTCTGTCTGTCTCTCTGTCTCCCGTTCTCTCTCTCTCT